TAAAAAAAAACTTTTGGAGAGACTTTTAAAGATAATTAAAAGAAGATTTAGGAATCAGGTCATGGTCCACCAGTATCCAATGCTGTCACGGTTTAGAGTTTACATATATGGAAAATGAGGTGACTTCAAACCATTCGCAATCCGTTTCCATCCGTCGGTTTTAAGGTCAAATCTTACAATATCTCCATTCATAGACCATAAAGGGACAATGATCAAGAGAAAGTTTTTGTATATATTACGATGTATTTTTATTTTTAAACATAAACAAAACCTCGAAAGGAAGTGCACTATCATTATAAATGGCGTCGTTGCAACTTTTGCTAGAAGTGTTTGATCAGCGGAATCTCAATTCATCTCCAAAGTGTTTATTTTCGATGACATCTATCACTCAAGAATTCTACTAGCTCTTTGTTTAGAGCTAATCGCCGATGTTTTGGTTGGAGGTTCACTATATGCTTTTCAACACAACAGGAATTTTTTTTATTATACCTGCCCTTTTCCACAACTTGTTGATAGATCGATCACTATGGGTCGTCAAAACTAATAACTCAGTTTAAAATGGCCATTGATGACATCAAAGAGAATATTTCATCAAGATCTTCAGAGATCTTTGATAACCTAGTACAAGCCCAAGGCGACCGGCCTTATGAAGAAACCGGCTTTAGGCGAATTGACGGCCCTTGGTCTTGGATCATGAGTGTTCTACTGCTRATGTCGTCCCTTTTCACCTACGGTTGTGCTTCGACTTAYGGAATCCTGTTTCCAAAGATACTTAAAGACTTAAAATCAACACGAGCTCTTACAGGTTAGTATAACGGTCCTCAAAACCAGGGGAGAGATTTTGTATATTTTTTAAATAATGGGCTGCTCTTGATGAAAAAAAAATAAAAACGCTTAGATATTTTAATAAATCAACTTCTTGAAAGCGTTGCTATAATCTAAAATATGTAGGAATGCAAATCTTGAATCATCTATAAATGATCATTCCCAAATCAGACAACYTTTCTGTGTGCAATRAAGCGATTAATAATTGGCTGTACTTTAGTCTAGTGTTCGCGTTACGGTTCTATATATGACTACGTGTAGATGGACTTCGACTCCCGGACAAAGTTTTCCGTGACAGCTCTTGCCCGGGAGTCTGTGTCCACAAACGTGAAAAGTTTGAATACCAACTGATTTCGGTCAAAACGAAGACTTTCTTCACTGAAATACAGTTTAGTATCTTAGATTAGACTAGATGGATGTTTGTAAATTATTTCGACTCCCGTGACATTCTTTCTGTCCAAGTGTCCAGGAGTGTCACGCCGACTGTTTAGTATGCGCAAAGAAGCTTTGAATTGACCTTCTACAACTAGATGCAGTTAAGTATCTTTAATTAGACTTGATTTACATTCTCCCGTGGTTTTGGAAAATAATTTTGACTCCTGGACAAATAGTTTCAGTGACACTAACTGGCAGGATCCCTCACATATGGACACTTCGTAAATGATGCCCTGCAGAATATTCTCGATACACAATAAACTATATTAAATATATATAGTTATAATTTAGTTTGTAACATACATGTATTTTGTCGAATCGGAGATGACGAACAATTGTTTCTGAAACTAAGGTTTGGCGAATAAAAGACCTAAATATTACGCCAAAAGACCCAAACGAATTCAACTTTATGATTTTCCTTCGGAGAGGCTTATTGCGTTGCTAGTAATTCATCAAAATCTTATCTGTTGAACTTTGAATTTTAGTTTTTGAGTTTTCGAATATGCACGGGCGATGGCCTGTTACTTGAGGCAGAGTCTCTTTCACAATTAAGGCTCCGTTTCGGCTCCGTTGCAGTTATTTACGAGCGGGAATATATAAATTCAAATTTTATGAAAAAAATGATGTTAATAATTCTAATTTATAAAATGCGGAAAAGAAAGGAAAGATTGGAAAAATCCCTCAAAACCCCGATTGCTATATACGACATATTCGAGTTAAAGATAGGGAATTTTGCCACCCAGTTCAAAGAGTGCACATTTTATAWTTTTTTCAATTTCGTTGCGTGTTTATACTGATTGACATCCTTCCTATAAGCCTTTTGAGCTAAGCCGAAAGTCAAGTGGCTGTCTGTGGGTATGTATAATATAGATTAACCAAAAATTATTAGCCGCTATATGATATTACCAGCGCATGCCGGTCATTGACCTATTTCTATATCTCGTTTTCTCGTTTTCTTGAAATGAGATCGTAAACACCCGGGGGGTCGATTAGGGTCGAAAATAAATTCCTCGCGTATCTTTTAGGGCCCAGAGCCGACTCCGTACCGTTAAGGATCGATATTCGAGCACCGAAAACAAAACTGAAATAGTGCTTATCGAAAGAAAGATACTAAGAGTTAATAAATTCAAGTTTATAACGTCCTTTTGCAGTTAAAACTGTATTACAGGAGTAGGTCATATTTACAAGAACTTCATAGTAACAAAATTATTAAATCTATCGGTTCATCTACCCTATCTTGCATGGTACGTAACAGCTGATGTTAGAGAATATAGAGCAATAGAGTGTTAG